TAGTTGTTCCAGTGCTCAGAGCTGGTGTCCAAAGAGTCCCAGGATCTTCAGGCTTCCAACAAGCACCAGACCTATATTTGCAGGTTTGAGTGATGTCTGCGAGCAGCTGGTGCCTACAAGTTGAGGCCTGTAACAATTAGTGGTAAGAGAAGCATTCCATTATACCTTAAATAGTAAGAAATCTTTTTACTGAACAATGTTTAGCTTTGTATTTAACAAGGCCTGAGTGATTAAAATGTACAGAGAAAATACCCTAATCTTGAGAATAGATACATCCTGGAAGAAATGCTCAAACAAGGCAGATGAAAAGATTGGCCGGACAAGAGAGCTAGGAAACACCAAGGGGAACAACCTTTTGTCCTCAAAAGACGTTGCGATCATAAAAGGGAAAATGGGCTAATTCCCCAAATGACCACTGACAACCAAGACCCCCGCACATGCATAGTGTAGTTTTGCAATGCCAGCATTATGTGAATGTAATAGATAGGCAGAAAGGTGGAGAGTTCCTGGAAAATGGATGAATATTCATGTATGTAAGGTATATAAAGAATGAACTTTTGGTTTAGTTTTTGTTTAGCACATTAGGTGGAATGATCCCCCGTGCATCCAGCGCTGCAATAAAGAATGCCTGCTTTCTAGAACTCCAAAACAAGTCTCAAGAGTAAATTCCTCTGCCGGCTTTTACTAACATGAGCAGCACTGTTGTAACACAGGTAGAGTGCAGTGACAGTTTATACTGAAATAAGAAAAGTTAGGCATTTACGTCTAGTATACTTAGAAAAGAAATACCTTTTGTTAAATAAGTGATTCCTATGTTTGCACATGCTTCTTATAATTACCTAAGTACACTGCTATTTCGATTTAATATTAACTTGAACAAATAACTGCAGCAACTACTTTGTGTAATGTAGTACTCACATTTTCTAGAGTCATTTCAAATGCCTAAATTTTAAAATGTCTTCCTGTGATGGAAATATTGAGATTTTTTGGCAGAATTCCTTGAACTTTCTATTTAAAGCCAATCATTTATCCACAGAAGATAATTTAGCTGTTCAAAACTAAAAAATGATGAAAGAATTACTTAGCCATTCTGACACAGAGATTTAATTTACAAAATGCTTCACCCTCCTTAAAAAGGAACCTGACTTCTTACCCCAACAAGTGGTGTTTTTTCCTTTTTTAAAGAGCTTGAATTTCCTACTTTTCAAGTATGTATCTAACTTCAGTTTAGATAGTCTCTCACTTTACCTGAGGAAACTATTTGATAAACTAGAAGAGTACTGAACATTATACTTAAAAGCCACTGATGCCAACACTGAGTTTTGGAAAAAGAGGAAGGCAATTCCAAATGCATCCCTAGAAATCACTGTTCTTCCCAAATGCATACATATGAGCGAACTGTGTATGTGTGTGCAGACATGTGTGTTGGCAGCAGGGTAAGCAACACAGTCAACATTAGAACCTGGGTTTTAAAAATCATGACATTTGTTTTCACATAAACCCCACAAACCTACAGATAAGCTAGTTACATTCTCTGGGTGGCTATTTACATTTAGCTATAGCTTTGTGAATATTCTGCACCATATACTACTCTTACACTCCTGACTCCGCTAAGAAAAATCTTTGTGAGTCACATATGGGTCCACGCAGATGACCAGACAATGAACTTAAAACATCATCATTGATCTTACTAATTGCATCTGCCACTGTATGTAGTTCTTGTTTCTACTCAGCTTTCTTTCCAAACACCATTCCAATTGTTAAATAGTCAGAATACACACAGTGACAGATTTAGTGCTTCCTTGGCAATTTATATAACTGACTGCAACTCTGTTGTTGAAGTGAATCATGATTTATTTGTCTCGCAATGCAGCACATAACCTTTTAAATGCTAAGGAAAAAAATGCCAGCGCTTCTTTAAAGTTTATATATGACTGCCCACCACCATTCCTCATGATCGGGTTTTTGAGAGACAAAATGATAAAAACAAGCTGCAAATTCCACCCACCTACTCCCGGCCATTTCCTGCATTCATCACGTATTCATACAATACGTACTGTATTTACAGACAAGCACACTCACCCAGAGCACCAGTGCACTTTTCTAGACCACTCTTTTCCTGCTGGGCAAGAATATTTTTTTTAAATTAGCGATAAGTATTCTCTGCTAAACTAAGCGCACGTGTCATGCTCAATCATGTCAGGTGAAATTAAGAGCAGGCTGCAGGGTTTTATTTATTGGTATCTCTCACCATTCCAAAATTGTGATCCCAGTGTCTGTCTAGGGCCTTTTCTCATACCCTACTCTCCACATCTTCTTCTGCATTTATTTCCACTACTCTTAAAAAACAGTTTAATGTACTCCTCCCCTTCTCCTCATTCAAATACACTGGTTTATTCTGGTGTTTATACTGTGCCCACCTCCCTGGTAAAGGAGTGTCTAATGACTCCTTGCTGTCCACCAGTGCCTGAAATAAGCCAGTCAAAAGCCTTCAGCATCTTTAATTATGAAAGTGATAATGAAAGGAGATAGGTTGTTTGCTTTAAATGGAACAGCAGTACCTCCAATTAATGCAAATAGGACTGTTTCATTGAAAAGCTATTTATCCAACATGCACAGCACAAAGTATTTGGATAGTTCTCCTTACATTATAATTCAATTTTAAAAATTTAGCAGGTAGAACTCAGCAGATAAAATTGTTTTTTCCTCAGATGGCAACTATGGAATTAGCGGTCCATTCATTAGCGTGTAACACTCACATACCACCTTTCATTGGCAGACTTCAAAACTTTCTGCAAATGTGTCCTTCTCTAAATTGCCCTAGTTTGTTGAAGGGAAAACAGGGTTGCAGAGATGAAGAGAGTTTTTCTAATCGTTCAACAGATTCATGCTTGCCTGTGGCCTGCTCCTACCCGATCACAAACAAGTCGCCACAACTGCCACCTGGTGCTCCATTTACTTCCACTCCCTAATGTTTGCCTAGATGTTTAATAAACAAGCAAGACTATTGCTTCGTGCAGTAAATATGCTTGCAAGTTACACAAGTTACAAATTCAGTGTAATGTTCTCTGTAAATATAACCCCAAATCTAGGCTATTTTAAATATCTGACATGGTTCTAGCACTACACATGGCATAGACTGCAATAGAAATTATGCCAGCTGATCATGAATGAGGATCTTGGGTGAGGCCACAAAACGAAACATTGGTAATTTAATACATGAAGAGAAAAGAATAATTTATAGAATAGCATTTGAGGAATAAATGGTGACAAGCATTTAAACTGTGTCAGTGCACCTCATCTTGATCAGGCAGGGCAAAATTACAAGTCCTTTTTCTACCAGAAGGTGGTATTGTTCTACAATGTACACAAATGTTCACTAAAAGGAGAAATGCTTCCCTTGGTCATCCTGAGGTTTGCAGGTCACTACAAAATAAACATGAAGAGTTTTGCTTCAAATGTTTCCATTTGGTTTGGCCAATGATGATAAAACCATTTAAAGTGAATCTGCTGTTTGGCTTGCAAGGCAGCAGCATGTTTAGAACATTTAATTAGCCACAGAAGGTGGTTAAACTCAATGCAGCATTTAACTTCCACTTTCTGGAAAACACAAGGCTATAATTTATGAAGCTACATAAAAGTACATTTACAGATACTACATACTTCTGAAATGTTATTGCTGTTTAAAGAGACTTTATAAACAAATATGACTTTGATTAAAAGCTGAAGAAAGTATACCTGTGTCAAGGAATAAACATCTGAAATTAAGGAAATGAGAGTAACTTTCATCTACCAATGGCAAGGGAAAAAAAAAAAAAGAAAACTCATCATCATATAGTCTGCTGAATTGATAAAGGCAAAAAAACTGTGGTGGGTGAACAAATAAGAGTCAAAACAAGCATCTTACCCCACCTCACAGAAAAAAAACAGATATTTCGCTGTATAAAACAAAAAGCATACATTTCAGATTGTCACATTTATGCACGCAGCTGCTGCATTCTCTAATGGGTCGAAGTAAGTTCTTACGACAACAAAAAAATTCTGCTTTATCCTACTAACTTCAGTCACTATCTTCCTGAGTTTTGGGAACTATTATTTGGAAGATACTAGTAAAAACAAAGAAGCTTCCCTATATAACAGTCCACAGTAAAAACAAACAAGGAATAAACCCTACATAACAGGTGTTTCAAACAGGTAATTGATACACCTTCATTATTCCCAACAAAAATATTTTATGACAATCTTTAAATGCTGGCTTGAGGCACACAGGCACAACTTCTATTAAAGTTAATGGCCCTCACTCAAAATGGAACACAGCAATACAAATTCAGCAAAATCCATAGTTAGGTTTTAAAGAAAAAAAATCTACCTTATAGGTTGAAAGAAGCCACTTATAATCAAATTTAAATGGCCAGTACCACAAATTCAAAGTATGTCAACCACCTCCACTGCTTTAAGTGAAAGAGCTGTCACTTGATTAAGGGAGGCTACTGAAACAGAAAAACAAAAACAAAAAAACCACAAAACCACCAAAACTCTGCTAATTTATCTATGTTTTACTCTAGTTGATCAAACTTTCATTTTTACAGGAACAGTCACAAAAAAGCCAATTATACGGCTGTCATTTTTGCTTAATATAAAATGCAGCCAGAAACAAGAGCAGCTTTACAGATCAATGATATGTTATTTGAATTTACAAATGCAATTTGTAATGCATTTGATGCCATTTACAAATTATCAGTCAGGTGTACTAATACACAATGAAAGTGTAACATGTAAAAAACTAATAAAACGAAACACATATCTTCTGGCCCCTCCTGCATATCCAGTAGGAGTGAGAAAGTGAGTATTTCTCAGGGGAAAGTAAATATTAGCAGCTATGACAACTTTTGTTGTAATCGTTTCCTAGTGTTTAACAGCTGGTTTTGTTTCAGAGGAAACACATTGCATCATCATCATTATTATTATTCAAATAAATAAATGATTATCCATAATCTTACCTAGTTCTGGGGGTAGCACAGTAAGACGATTTCCCTGGATATGAAGTTCCTTAAGCTGAGTGAGCTCACCGATTTCTTTAGGCAGTGATATCAGGTCATTGTCTCTAAGACTCAGCTAAGAGTGAATATAAAGTAGTCAGAACAATTTTGGGTTACCATCAAGCAGCCTAAACCAGACCTCTACTCCCTCTGCCCCCACCTTTCTCCTAAACGCTCAATTCTTCCAATTTATTTACAAGTGTCTGCTGGTAAACAAGAAACAGTTCCAGGTGTAGTGGTCTATTCCTGCAAACATACCCTACTACTCCTCAAATTGACTAGACTCTATTCCTACAAGCGTTGCAAAAGGGAATTGATTTTCCAAGAATTTAGATAAATTACTTACTATCTGCAACTTTGTGAGCTTCCCAATATCTGGCGGCAGGATTTCAAAATCGTTGTCACTTAGATAGAGTGCACGCAGGGTGGCTGCAAATTAAATAGCAATATATAAACAGGGTGGCATATAACCCAACCATTTGAGGTCTAATCAATAAAAGGGAGTCAGGTTTGATTAATAATCCTGACTTGGTGAAAAGCCTTTGACATACCCAGGGCTCACAATAATAACAAGCAGGTCAAACTTAGATTTACTGGCTTATTGTATTGTTGGTGTGTTCAGGAAAACATCTATATTCAAAAGGACTGGCACAATTAACAATTTCTACAATAGCAGACTGGCAGGTTCTGGCATATAGTCTCAATGCTCAGCTGTCAGAATACAGTCATTACTCTTTATTACCCCTGATTCTTATTTATTGCATCAATTTGCATCCTAAACAAACATTTAAAAAATCATCTGAGTTTTTTGGACAAATGCACATCTATGTTAAGCTCCACAGAAAGCACAGCCTGACACTGGGAAAGAGACCTTAAAAGAGATCAATACAGAAGACTCAAATTGTAAAATTTGTAATTTCCATGCTTAGTCTTTATGAAATTCACAAAGGAAGAGATGACCCAGCACAACCATGTAGCTTGCTATTATTGAATGAGCATACATGACAGTTCGGAAAAAAAACATTAAAATGGAGACTCACAAAGAACTGTTGGGTGCAGCGGGAAGGAAGGTGGTCAGGTCAGCAAAACCTCTCCTCCCCACCAGAGAGGGGATCCCTTTTGTCTTATGCAGTTTACTCCTCCTCCTCTTTTCATTTTATTAAATGTGACAATTTTTAATAATGCTGACTTAAAAATTCCCCTCTGCCAGGTTACAATCATGAAATCTCTCAGAGAGCAGCACTCCTTCCTCTCCCCTCGCTTGTCGCTTTCGCTGCTAAATGCACTGATCCTGAAGCCACTTCAGCACAGTACACTGAAAAGACCAGTAAGGTAGCAGCATCACCGAAATCCAGAAAGTGCCAGAATTCAAGTTGCTTAGGCAACCATAATGCAGCCTTTTTGCACATATGCATTACAATAACTTTATTTTAACTCTCTGAGTATGTATTTTTAACATGTTCAAAATGTTAGCTTAGCTCTACCATTCCTGTGCCAAGCTTTGTAACCTTTGCATATTTTTTAATATACTGGACACTTCAACATCCACATGCTGTTAAATATATTTCAGTAATGAACCATCAGGAACACAATTATTTTTAGAGTCAACACACAACAGTTGCCTTGCAAAACAGTTTACTTTCTGCTGAGTTTTGCAAGTTTCCATGAAGTTTTAAGTTTAACTGAATATGGGATCCAAGGAACTACCACTCAGAAGAAAACTAATATACCATTACTAACCAAGTCTTCCTGTGTCCAATGGTGTCAGGTGACTGTATATCAGTGATAAATATTGCTAAGCTATGTAGAAATATTCAAGACATATTCAAAGAAAAATATAAGTATCAGAAAAATTCTGTTGAAGTTTGATCTCCATCAAATAAATTTCAAATGCAGAAAGCAAAACATTATACCATGAAGATTTGCAGAGTTTTTATAAAAGTTTCTTACTCAGATAGAAGAAGTTTCCTGGCAGAGAATTTTCATTTAAGTTGTTGTAAGTCAAGTCAAGAACCTCTAGAGCTGGTAAAGAGCCAAATCCCCTTGGCAAGGTGTTTAACCTGTTCATGCTGTAGGTAAAGAGGGAAAAACAGAACATGACATCAGTATTCACTTCATCTAGTAGGAATAACGCAGGAAACAAGACTTTCATTTCTAAAAATGTAATCTACACCAAGCTTCCCCTTTGTTTTGAAAAGGAGTTGATGCTACAAGATCCTGAGCAAGCCTTTCGCCATGCAGAGTTTCTATCTCTCACTCCCATAAATATGCCCCAAACTTAGGCATTCAAGGGATCATGCCTGTCACGCCAATCAAGAGCCACCCCTGAAACATGACAGTGCTATGCTCATCTTAAACAGTGTGCCATGGAGAAAGCTGGCTCTTGGTAGATGACCTGTCTTCTAGCTAAACTATAAATTACCCTTTTGCACATCATCTTGACCATTTGCCATTCCACTGTACCACACAGCTCTTTACCATGATACCAAATACAAAGCGGAATACCTCAACTGCACAGTGTTTATGTTAATTGATAATTGCTGCTCAAGCCCCCTAAGAACAGCAGATTTGTGTCACTAGATAACTATTGATGCACATGGACCATGGAAGTAAATAAAATGTCAGCTCTCTGATTGATGAGGCTTAGTCTAAATATAGCTCATTCAGCCAGTCTTAAGAGGGTTTAGGATAGCTGTTCCCACTGGCAACAGCCAAAACATGGGGAAAGCTCACAGAAGGAAAAGGTTCCTCTGATTACCTGGAGCAGACAAGCTACAGAAAACAGCAACTCTTCTCTGACCTCAAAGGGCCTGAACAAGGTGATCCACATAACCACTAGTGTTGCTACAATGACAAGGAGAGGCAAGTTGCTGGAGACTATATTTATAGAACCTTACGGTTTGTCTGCAAGCTACAGCTCTGGATGCTTATTATATGAACAGAGAAGTACAACCAGCTTGTTATTCATAGCATCCCTATTGCGTGTACACCAAACATACAGCTTGTGTGTATGGATCTTGCTTCGGTTGTCACCTAGGCTTAAAAGTGGAACAGAGAAGATAGGCATCTTCAGGAAGAGCACTTACAAGTAACTATTTTGAAGAACTGGATTTTATTCTTCTGTGTTGATTGGACTTTCACATGTTATCTCTAAACATATTCTGAATTTGATTCTCCTTCTGATGCAAAAGTAATAAATAGCAACAGCCACAGCTGAAGTCAAGAGATGTAATGTGAATGTATGAAGCATGATGTAACACTAAAAACTATGAAAACTCAAGTCAAAATATTGACAAAGTTGGGTACCCAAAAATAATAAAGACTTTTGGCTCTAGTCTCTAGGGCCTTCCCTCCCCCATGTAATGTTTGTCAAATACTGTGCTATACTATGTGATAAATACTATGAAATGCATCTATAGGACAGTTAATAAGCTCATCTTCTAAAAGTTCTCTAAACACAGGAGCAGCACCTCCACTGTAAGCATGATGGCTACACATCCACATGAGCAAAGGCAGACGAAGCACATACAACATTACAGACTCTCAGATACTAATCTCACTTTTCCTCTCCCACTTTTGCATAAGCCAGTCCCACCAGAAGAAGAACTGGTAGAGATGAGAACTTCTCCCTCCTCATCCCCCATAAGAAGTCCTACCAGGGTCATGCACCTTGAATGACTGTTGGAGTCGTACCTATTAAAATGAAGAAAGGCATTCTCCACTATTGCTCCTGCACACTTGTCACTGTTTTAAAAACTGTTCTTTGTATCAAACAGGTCTAAAGAAAGCAGCTCCTTTTTCACTAGTAAAAAGAGTAAGTGGCCCTGACAGCCTTCCCTTTTGTGAGGGAGAGAGAGAGAGAGAGAGAGAGAGAGAGAGAGAGAGAGAGGCA